AGGGTTTTCCATCTGTTTACATCTTCTACAATTTCTTTTCTCAGTGTTTCGTAGTTCTCCCTATATAGGTCTCTCACCTCCTTCATTAAATATATTCCTAAATATTTAATTTTCTTTGATACTATTGTGAAAGTTGTTCCATCTTTGATTTGATTTTAGGCTTGACTGTTATTGGTGTATATGAATGCCACTGATTTGTGTGCATTAATTTTGTATCCTGAGACTTTACTGAATTCATTTATCAATTCCAGGAGTCTCTTGATTGAATCCTTGGGATTTTCTAGATATAATATCATCCGCAAAGAGTGAGAGTTTGACCTCTTCTGCCCCCATTTGGACACCTTTAATTCTCCTCTCTTGTCTGATTGCTCTGGCAAGGACTTCCAGCACTGTGTTGAATAGAAGTGGAGATAGTGGGCAACCTTGTCTGGATCCAGTTCTAAGTGGGAATGCTTTCAATTTTTCCCCATTCAGTATGATATTGGCTTGTGGGTTTATCATATATGGCCTTAATAATTTTTAAGGTATGTCCTATCTATGCTAGCATGTTATGTGGAGAGAAAGGAACACTTACACACTGATGGTGGGATTGCAAACTAGTATAACTTCTATGGAAAGTATTAATAGTATGGAGATTCCTCTAAGAACTAAAAGTAGACCTACCATTTGATCCAGCAATCCCACTACTAGGAATTTACCCAAAGGAAAAAAAGTCATTTTATGAAAAAGACACTTGCGCTCAAATGTTTATTGCAGCACAATTCACAATCACAAAGATGTGGAATCAACCCAAGTGCCCATCACTACACAAGTGGATTGATAAAATGTATATGTATACCATGGAATACTACTCAGCCATAAAAAATGATAAAATAATACTTTTTGTAACAACCTAGATAGGACTGCAGGCCATTCTTCTAAGTGAAGTATCGCAGGAATGGAAAAACAAACACCACATGTACCAACTATTAAATCAGAACTAATCAACACTCATGGGAACATACGCAAATAAAACTCAACAGTAACCAAGCAGGTTGGGGGGGCAGATAAATTCACACCTAATGGGTACAGTGCACACTATCTGGGTTATGGGCACATTTATAACTTTAACCAAACTGTACAAAAGTAATTCATGTAACCAAAATGTGTTTACCCCTGTAATATTCTGAAATAAAAAAAATGAAATGGGAGTTTTTCAATTTGGAATGAATAAACACTAAATGGCCATGAAAAAGCATATGGAAGTATAAATCTCACTGTAAATGTAAATAAATATGTAGACAAACCCAGAATATCTTAAAACTAATGGTGGTG